CTTACTTACTTACTTACTTACTTACTTACTTACTTACTTACTTACTTACTTACTTACTTATAAATGAATTGTTCCATCTCAGGCTGTACTGGTCCTGGCAGTCCTGGATCATTTGTGTGGCACCGAGTTAAAAGATTTCACTCCAGGCAGTATCTGGTGCTGGGCTCCCCTGGTGTTGGTGTCAGTTCCTTACTGTGCCTCACTCAGGTATCAGCCCATATGTCTTATCATCTTAGCTGCTATGATGGCGTATAGGAGCTTCAGAGACACTTGATTCTCTGGTGGTTTGATGTGATTTGCTCTGTTTTGGTGGTCTTTGCAATCAGGACCATTATTAGGTCAAACATTCTGAGTGGATCCCTCACCACTAACAGGATGGATTCAATATGACCTTCAGGAATGCACCACTGTATGGATTCAGGAACATTTCCACAAATCACTGTTTGTAAACACAGGTGCCATCCATAAATGCTGGGTAAAGCTCTATCAGGTAAAGAAAGAGCCACATGTAAACAGCATCTACTGCTGTCTTTTCTGGGTCAAAGCACATTTAATTTGAGACAAAGAGAAAAGCTTTGTGGTCAGACAGATCAAAATTTGTAATTTGCTTTAGAAGCAAYAAACTCTGCATCCTCTGTTCTAAAGAGGAGAGGGATCATGTTGTCTTAACGGCACAAAATTTAAAAGCATGCCYCTCTGATGATATGGGRGTGCATTAGTGCCTACGACACAGGCAGCTTACACATCTGGAAAGAGGTCATAAAATTCAAAACTGCCTTTCAATTGATGTTAGTTTTTAAATGGAAATTTCTTTGTTGAAATATTTGATATGTTTAGTATGTGAATAAAATATAGGTACCAACTTTTTTTAGAATTGGGGCTCTATCTTTTATTCCCATTGAAACATTTCTATTTTTCATGTTTTGTGTTTTTAAATATCTAATAATACAGAATAAAAACAGGTTTGTTCCTAAGTTGTTAGTTATAGAAGAGCAGAGGTTCATCCCTTTATGCTAAAATGTTGCTAATAGGAAAGTTCTGCACCTTATCTTTGAAGAACCTTCAGAATTTATTAAGAAAAGAAAAGAAAAAGGTGGTTCAAGAGTCTTTAAAAATACAGAAAAGACTGTCTCCTTTTAAACGAGGTGGCTCAAGACTTTTGCACAATAATCTTTACACACACATAGTTCTCACCCCGAGCTGTAGCTGTCTCCCCTTCATGCCAGGCCAAACAGTGAAACGCTGTCGGTGCAATACCAACAGGGAAGCTGATTTCTGTCCCCTGAACTGTGGTTCGTGTG